TKKTRWMAYMYMCWMGTACGAGGCCTACAGCTGCAAYCCTKCTTTGTATTACAAAAAAGCGTCGCTATACATTGCCTATTAAGAATATTTACCAAATATCAATTAWTTAAAACAGAACGATAGTTAAACCGCAATTTGCCTTCATTTATACCCTATTGAATGCATGTTGGCCTCCTTTGCAGCCCCAAAATACGAACAGGCTGCGTAAGAGTCCACGTGTATTTGGTTTCATGGTACTCGATAGTTTTCTTGTTTTAAATGTATCGCTAGAGACTGACATGCATTTGAACTCAAATATAAACCGGCCTTTTGAACCTTGTTTTTTCAACATACGTTATAATCAAAGTGCAGCCCAATCTAGGTTCATAATGTTTTATTATTTACCAACACGGTACTGCCAATTAAATTTTTGAATATACAAACGCGACAAAGTCATATGAATTACAAACAATATCTTTATTCAGTCAAATAATCTTGAGCCGCTGAGAAATTTAATTCATTCTATTTTTTTTCTTTATTACTATTTTGCCGGTCTATGTCGTAGGTCACTTTCTCCATATATTCTGCTGTCAAATTCTGCCTTGAACCCAATTATTTTTATACTGCTGGAGAATGAAGGAAATAGAGACGCTTGTAAAAAATACTTCAAAAGAAAATCTATAGATTTCATGTCGAACAWTCCTAAGAAACATGCAAAAGACACACAAACCGCTTGGCAGAAGCAACGCCCAGAGGCTGTAACTCTGGAACCGAAAAAATCCGAGATTACGCTCGATATCCGAAACACATCCGAAGCATTGACGAAATAATTCCGAAGTACATCCGAAAGGTACAATATATTGAATAGAGACTCGTATTTTCATACCCTCTTTTCATTTATTCCTWTTTTCCACCTTCCATTTTATACTCTTATCTACAGAAATACTGGAAGAAATACTTTTTGACATGTTTTTCTAAAACTGACATTTTCCTTTTATAAAAGCCAATGAAGATTTTCTTTTTGATTGGTAATGGAGATGTCTTTAAACGCCTACATCTTCCGAAATTGTCTTAAGCCCGAAAATTATCATTTCAAATAATTATAATCATAAATCAATTAGTTTTTGAACGATTTCCGCAACGTGAAATTACAATTTTCCGCTCTCTTTGCCAATATAAATTATTTTTTAAAAATCCTTATTTCCGCTTTTTTGATAAAAATTCAATCTTCTTAAATTTCATTCAGCTTTCGATTTGAGCGCATTGTTGACAACACTSAAGATTTCATTATCTAAAACTCAACAGAATCAATATTATTAGGTAATGGATATTATCTARAGCAAACAGAAATAACCACAGTCCTCATTGTGTAAACACATTCTATTGTTTTGACCAATTTWAAAAAATCTAAAGCAATTATCACATACAAAAAGGAAACAGAAGTGCCGTACTTATTAAACACCAAAGACATAAAACTCGATTAGCTCATGTAGTTGACAACTTAACCTTGTTATCTTTCCGGAAGAAACMAAAACCCTCAGACAGTAATTCATCGTTGAAAGGACAGTACAAAATGAAACATTTCATCGTGAAGTTCGCTATTCTTTGGTGYCTTTTGTTCTGGTTTCAGGAAGACGTTTTGATTGTTGGTGTGGCATTTTCTGAACAGATAAAAAAGAAAAATCCTTCAAGTATTCATTACCAATTGTCAACAAAATCATTTCGTGTTCAAGATGAGAAAAATTTTCATGGTCATAGCATCTTAAATTCGGGGAAACCGCTCTCAGAGCTAACAGCTTCCTTGTTTAACCCATGGCAAAGAAACAGCGGTCTRRAAAGCCACAATTCCAAGGTACCGAACTCACGAAACGTACCGGAACAGCAAAGTACAATGGAAAAAATTGAAAATATCAAAGAGAATAATAACCATTTCCTGGTCAGTAGTTTCAGTAATATAATTCCAGAGAATAAAGCGAAGTCGTCATACAAAAGGCAAAAAGATACCTTTGACAATATTCGCGAAAACAAACATTCCAAATTTACGCAATTGAGAAAATTATTATCGAATTTCACAGCCAAAAACGTGGGGATATTTAGGAGGGATTTGATACGCTTCAAAAGTGAGTATCCTCTAAAATCAGGTATTTTAAAGCGACAAAAGAGACGAGCAAGACCTTTTAAGACACCAACATGCTTAGGCAATAAATCCTCATGTGGAAACAGATGCTCAGGAAGAAGAGATTTTGGAGACGTGAATGATGAGGAACGTTGCGCTTGCGATAACTATTGTAATTTCTTCAAGGACTGCTGCCACGATTATGTACAACAATGCTATGGAGGAAACTCCACAACTGCTGTAAAAAACGCGCAAATTCCCGATGAACAGTGGTCTTGTAGAAATGGTATCTGGATGATTACATCATGTCCAGCTTCCTGSACAGAACAAAATAATACTCAGCGATGTAGACAACAAACCACAATGACTTACGAGAATTATCCCAATTTACTCCCCGTCACCACCCCCGACAAAAAGACTTTCGCCAACAAATTCTACGCTCGTTGCCATGGTTACACAAATCAACAAATGTCATCTTATCATCTTCAATTTAAATGTCATTTAACGCCATTACCACAAGCAACCCACGAAGAAAAACTGAAATTTCTATTCCAATTTTGCAAAGTATACGTAAAACCAAAATCTGGACAACCGAGAAGGTACTGCTATCGTCCAGTCGAGACGTGTAACAAAGATAGCAATGTATCCATTGCAGACAAATGTAAAAAAGAGCATTTTGGTTTAGTTTATTTCGTGAGAAATGCGGTTAACTTCAAAAATATTTACTGCGCACAATGCAACCAGATCAACGGTGTCATGTGTGGTCCGGGGGACGATAGAGTCGCCCTCAACAAAAACCCATTTCCAGGTCTTACCAAACCATTCTCAGTAATCATGAGGATCAATGACCAGGAAATAGTGCGAACAATTACTTGTCCTAAAAGAATGGTGTTTGACGTTCACTCTGAAATATGCAGAAAAAAGGMAAGTTTCACCTCCATTCCCGTCATCTCAAAGTCTGGAGTGAGAAAGGACCGCGTTGTAATGTGGGTGAAATCCGCAACAAAGTTGCGTCCCAAGTCGTTACCGTTTRCTAAAAAGGCTTTCRTCGACCATTTAACGAATGCACTAATGATAAACTCTTCTGCAWTAACATCTTTAAAGTTTTCTTACATGGATCATTTTCTCCTTATGGTGGAGTTCAATCTGGATCATTATTTCTTCAGTGATTCAACACAGAATAACATTTCAACAAAAATTGCTAACCTTCCATATTCGCCTGCGAGTAATATCAATATTGGTTCTTTTAATGGTACCATTGTCAAGGTTACTGTTAAACCGCTGACGTGTGTCGCCGCGGACATCTATTCACCCTTGCAATACCAACTAATTCCTGGTACCTCTTCAGTGGTGRTCAATTYTACTGGTGAAGTTCTGGACAAAAKTGACTACTTCTCCAACAAMACYATCATGKTACAAGGTCGTCCACAGCCTGTTGGCAAYATCRTRGTCTGTAGACAGTTATTATCGGGTAATTGTTCTGGTWCCTACATCTTCCTGGACAGACACGAGTACGTCATGTTTCCTAATCGATCGTTATGGTACAATGCAGCTGGTCGTCTGTACAAGTATGAGGAGTATACAGTAATGAATGGTTCCATCATGATTTGTACTRACTTGATTCAAACTTACGTRAAACAGACCAAGAAAGAAGACCYAGTGRATGAAACAGTTTTGATTGTCTTGACTTATGTCGGGTTTTCAATATCAATTGTGTCTTTRGTGTTTGTTCTGGTCACTTATTCGTTGTTTCCAAAACTGAGAACAATTCCTGGAATTAACTTAATGAACCTATCTTGTGGTCTTCTTGTGGCGCATTTGGTTTGGCTGACAGGATCTGGACTGACAACCAATGGAACAGTTTGYACAGCCATCGCTATCATACTTCATTACAGTTTTCTTGTYTCATTTGCGTGGATGTCAATCATCGCCTTTGACACTTGGAGRGCGTTTTCTTCTCGGACATACTGGCCAAGAACAAAAGACAAAAAACACAAACATAATGTCATCCGYTTGACCATTGGATGGTTTCCATTGGTTCTTTTTGTGTCAGGTTGYRTTGCTCTTGACCRATCAGATGTGGTTACCATYGGATACGGAGGTAACGAAAGCTGCTGGATCACCAACTCGCGGGCTAATCTATGCRTTTTTGCAATTCCTGTTGCAATCTCTTTGGTCTGGAACGCGGTGTTTTTCATTCAAGTTATTYRTGAATAYGTTAAAATACGAAAGAAATCCAAGCTGCTTTTAAGCCAGCACAAGGCACGTAGAGACACGGCTATCTTTKCAAGAATAGCAGCACTRATGGGCTTCACCTGGGTGTTTGGGTTCATAGCACCTGTGACCACGCCCTACTTGATGTACCCCTTCGTGATCCTRAAYACCCTTCAGGGTCTGTACATTGCTGTGGCTTTCGGGTTTACGCGAAGAGTCAAATTACTGTACAGAAAACGTCTTTGTAAAAATGTTATCTTTATCACGTGACGTAATCACGTGACTCCAGAAGATCACGTGATTCGAGGAAAATGAGGTTCAGCTTCTTGTGGCCACAATCTCTGCTATGTGTGCCATGATGCAGTCCATCATATCGAGGGCATACAGACCAGACTGCAGGACCTGACAAAAAGAATATTAATAGCCAAACGAACGAGTGCACGAAAGAAGAATAAAAACTGTTTTATTATCTTAGCATAACTGAATATAGCAAAGTGAAGACAGAAGTGAAGACAGTGAATATAGACAAGTGGATATAGCGAATTGATTCAATAGGAAAACTTGAAGTCTTTTGTGAATCTTACCTGAGTTTGRTCATCTATTGACATAGCACTAATCGGAGTCCCGTCAGGGGTGGTGACAGTAAAATCGATCTTACTTTTACCTTCTTCATGCGTTTTATCTTAAGATGTAAATAAAAAAGATACAAGACATACTTTAATGATAAGGCTAATTGTTTGACTTGTTAATAAAGCTATTACTATTATCATTATCATCATCATCATCATTATTATTATTATGAATTGATGAAAAATGGATGAATAAACGAATGGATGAATAAATGAACAAATGAATACATATGGGCATCAAATGGGCAATAAACAATAGAAAAACCTTYCAAAATACCTTTCTGCTTGGCCTGATCTTCACTTTGTWTYTGAACAGCAGTGTATCGTAATCTTGTCAGCKTCAGGGATTCTCTAAGTGGGTCTAGAAAATCCTTCTCAAAAATCCCAAAGTTTTTCCAYAAWGTAACTTCATCATCATGATCACGTAGAAGAATATATCGCAAACAATTCAAGATTGCCATGATTCTATAAGAAAATAWTGATGTTTTCATAAACCAAAAAAAWATWACTGTCACTCTATGAARAGGCTCGAACTGACCAAAATATATTTGTAAGTTATTATTGAAGATCACAACGATCACTAGATTTGATCACCATA